CTAGCAATTTTTTTTTTTTTTTTTTTTTTTTTTTTTTTTTGGGGGGGGGGGTGAATTATGTGAATCTGAAGCAAAATAATTTACTCTTTTCTGATTATGAAGCCACTTTGGCATGGTGGTTCAGAAAGGTTGTCCATGATCTCTTGGTAACTGTGATGAGTAAAGTGTAGCTGTGTTTATGACATGAAACACATTAGCTTCAGATTGGAGTCTGTTTACAGTACCTTAGTAACATGCTCCAGTAATTATTTTCGTGCTTGCTTAGGAAAAGTTGTTATACAGGTGACTTGTACTTTTTAGCAAGTATGAGCGGAAATGTTGCTATCCAGTGTACATTGCATCTACCAAAGGATACTTTACCTTTTATAGAAAGGTTACCTCTGTCATCAGATAGCTACAGTTGTGCACTAGATCAGTTGAGCAGAGCCTGTGTGGTATAAATTTCTGGATTTCATAAGTTGGTCTGAAAATTATTCAGAACAGTGAGTTGTAAGTGACTTGCAGTGTAGTGATTCAGAAAAGAGGCTGATCTAGGGACTTGCTGCTTATAAAGATGAATGAGATCTTGGTACATTTACACTACCAAGTGTATGAGGTGCCAGTACAAGTACAAATTGTAACAATATAACCTATAATGACCTCAGCAGTCTGGTAATAGATTTTCTGTATTATTATTATCATTTCTTTATTAGTTATTACTTGTATTGAGTTACTATTATTGATGATGGAGTCATTGTTAATATGAATAGATACATTATTTATTTACAGATAAATGTGCTCTATGGCAGTGGAATTCAATGTTTTTGCTTGTGTAACAAGAGCTGGGATCATTATAGGTATTAGGTTACAGGTTATAATCTAGGATGACTTGCTTGGTTGTTACTCAGTGCTGTACATGCATTATTATTACCAGCCCAAACCTTTCAGCTTTATGTACTGAAATCTAACACTCCAAGTGCAAATGTCTTGTCTTTAAGGTCTGTTATAGTTGTCTGAAAAATATCAATTCATAAAGTATTTTACAAAATGGAAAGGATCCAGTTAGTTGCCATGCAGATACATTATTTGCATAAATATCATATGACCTGTCCTTACTTTGTGGCATGGTTTCTTATGGTTATTGATGTTAACATTCCAGTTGTACTTCAGATGCAAGCAGTGGTATTTGTATTTGTTTAAAAAGGATAAGAAACCTACCCTCTTTTTCTTCTTCCTTTCTCTCTCTCTTGCTTTTGCCACAACCTAAATGTGTATTTTATTTTTCACAATATTTCAAAGGTGACCTTCCATTTGTTATGCTTAATGGAAAATATATTTGCGTAACATTACGACAGCATCAACAGTTTCAAAATTCATATAAACATTTACCTTTTCAGTACACATCTATTTGTTTTAAACATTAATAATTACAGTTGTTTTGGAATATAGAATTAATTGTTCAAGATTAAAAACATTGCTTAACCTTGTTGAATTTCACCATACAGTTATTGAAAATGGTGTTGAGATACACTGCTTTTCTTTTCAAGTATAAAAAGATCCTGTACATGTCAAGCATGTATAAAATTAGACTATAACTCAAACGTTTAGTCTTCTACTTCAGATGTCCATATGTATAATATATTGCATAGTGATATGCAAATGTATAAGTAATTTATAGTATTAGTTAGGGAATTGTGATGATATTTTTTCCAGGCACACATTCTTATCCAAATCATTGTAAGTTTCAATTACCATTGAGTTCAGTCTTTTGGCAAAACATTTCAAATGTATCACATGGGTTCAACATACCATAAAATATACTAGTTAACAGACATGCATAACACATGTATTTTGAATTTGGAGAAGTAGAACATGTGTGACTTGTGAACAGAATTGTGGATAAGCAACAGACATTTGTACAAATACATCTAGATTTTTTACCCTGTCGGTTGTATCTTATTTTACACTGAAGAAAGTAAGGAACTGAAGGCTGCTGAAAGGAAAGTTCAGAAGAGATCCTCCTCCATGCATGGCACCAGTAGAGTAACGGAATGCAAGCCAGTCTAGTAAGTTGTGTAAATAACACCATGTTACTGTGTTAAGTTAATTCTTTTGTACAAAATAAAAAATGTAATTCAAATGGCTGTTTCGATGTTCCAAAAGTTGAACTCTTCCCCTTGCTTTCTCCTCCTCCCCTTGCTTTCTCCTCCTCCCCCTCTCTCCCTCTCTCCCTCTCCCCCTCTCTCCCTCTCTCCCTCTCTCCCTCTCTCCCTCTCTCCCTCTCCCCTTCTCTCCCTCTCTCCCTCAGACATGCAGTACTTGAGCTAACGAAAGTCGGATGAAAAGGAAAATGACGGAATATCTGCATCAGACAGTTCAACTGTTAAATAAGGCCATAATGCTAAACTTAAATAATGAAAACAGATGTGATGATATAAAACATACATTTATTTGTAATATATATGTATATATATAGTATATATATATATATATATATATATATATATATATATATATATAT